TGAAAGCTATCTTCCTTGTTTCTTAAAGACCTAGATACAAAAGAAAATGGAAAAAAAAAAAAAAGAATCCACCTGCCAATGCAGGGGACACAGGTTCGATCCCTGGTCTGGGAAGCTCCCATACGCTGCAACTATTGGAGCCTGTGTGCCCTAGAGCTCATGCTCCGCAACAAGAAAGCCTCCTCAATGAGAAGCCTGCAGACTGCAAAGAAGAGTAGCTTCTGCAACTAGAGGAAGCCGGAGACAACAACGAAGGCTGAGCACGCCAAAATAAACAAGCATACAGATAAGTAAATAAAGCCTTACAAAAAAATAGAACCGAATGTCCATCTCTCCCCCAGCTCTAGAGACACATGCGGGTGCAGCACTCCACCATCACACAGGTGCTGAGTATGAGCTCAGGGCTGGGGGTCCAGAAGTCTCAGGTAGGTGCATGCTCCACACACGGGGCTCAGACAGGCAGATTCTTCACTACTGGACCACGAGGGAAGTCCTGGCATCTCACTCTGAAACATGACCTTGGGTATATCTTGGCCTTTCAAATGCATTAAAATTCTGTTAGCCTGTATTTATATATGCTTATGTATTACAGACAAGCTAGTTTACCTCTTTGTCCCTATACCTTTCCTTTTTTGTAAGGTGTTTTTTTTGTTGTTGTTTTTTGATGTGGACCATTTTTAAAGTCTTTGTTGAATTTGTTACAATCTTGCTTCTGTTTTTACCTTTTGTAAAAACAAGAAAACCTCCCTGGTTTTCTTGGCCAGGGAGGCATGTGGGATCTTAATCCCTCAACCAGGGGTCGAAGCTGCACCCCCTGCCTTGGAAGGCGAATTCTTAACCACTGGGCTGCCAGGGAAGTGCCCCCCCACACACACACCTTTCTATTACCACTGTTTAAACCAGGGTGCTGGTGCTGGCAGTGACTTTGTGATCTCGCACGGGGCTGACAAAACCCCAGAAGAAGTGAGCACCTCCCAGAGGCGGAAGCAGTGGCGGAGGACCTGGGTCTCCACTTGGGGGAGGGCGCAGGACTGGGCCCCTTGCGCGGGGATGGTCCCACTGTCACGCAGGAGCGCGCGGCTGCAGCCCAGCGCCCTATCAGAATGGGTGGGGGCGGCGCGTCCCCCAAAGCTGCAGGCAGGATCCCGGCCTTGTCCCGTCCAGGCCTCTCGGCTGGTCCTCTGGGGTTTCTGCAAAGTTCCCAACAGCCTAGAGTGAATGTCTCTCTGCTTACACCGGCCTGGCTGGACCCCAGGTTACTCTGGGATGGTGTTACTATTCCAGGCATAAGCCTGGTGTTAAAAACACCAGTCTCACAGGCCTCATGGGAGCCAGACTTGAGAAACAGGTCGGTCAGACTGGTGGCTCAGCTGTGTCCATGGAGAGGGCGCCTCACATCCTAATAGGAAGGACTGTAAGATGCTGGGAGGTGAGCAGAGCAGCGCAGAGCCCCAGCCTCTGGGTCACTGAGGATGGCCCCAGTGTTGGGGGGGACACATTTCCGGGCCAAGGACGGGGGCTGCTCCTTAGTGGGGTGGGGCCACGCCCCTGCTCTGTGCTGCCGGGACCCGGGTTCACCCATCTTAGAGACCGCCGCTGCTGACCTGCTGCCAACCCCATGCCGAGGCTCTTCACAGCCAAGGCTGGGCCCCTGGGGCGCAGCAGCCGCGGGCCTGGCCCCTGTCTTCATGCACCCCAGCCTCTGAGTCCCACACACTCCTGCCGCGTCGCAGAGGCTCAGGACACCTGTGTGTCCCACTGAGCCAGAGCCCTGCTGCAGCGTGTCTCGGAAATCTGTGTCTCGGGCACCACTGCTGCTGCTGGAAACCATGCCCACCCCAACAGGGCGCAGTGACCCGCCCGCCCGCCTTCGGGAGGCCCTGGCCCAGGACACCCAGCCGGGCCAGGCTGGGCACGGGGACCAAGTGGCCCTGAATGGCACAGCTGGCCTCTGCACCCAGAGCCCGAGAGGCTCCCAAAGGAGCAGAGAGGCACCTGGCCTGGGCACAGCCGAGTGTTCCACGAGCCCTCAGAGGGACCACGCCAACAGAGCGTCCCGGAGGGACACGCAAGGGAGCTGCTCAGACTGCGGCGCCAAGGCCTGGGGGCCATGCCCAGTGGATGGGGGGCACGCTGGGGGTCTCTGCTCCTCCGCTGCCAAGAGTGGCTGCTGCCTCCATAGACCCTGAGCCTCAGGCCCCATTCCCCACAGCTGCTGAGAGAAAAGACAGGGACAGTGCCTCCGGGGGCACCCTGTCCGCAGAGATGGAAGACGCTCCAGGTCAGAGCCCTCACTCAGCCCCTGACCCCAGTGACCCACTGACTCGTGTGACCTTCCTGAACATTTTCTCTCTAGGTTTAGTAAAACAGCACGGCCCTCCACGCCTGCCTCACAGGGCTAAGGGCACGTTTTCCGTGCCCCACATGCCCCCTCAAGGCCGGGTAGGGTGTCAGGTCGCCAGGGGAAGGGCAGGGCTGGGCAAAGCCCTTGGTGGTGTCCTAGGCTGTGCACCCCTTCCCCGCCCCCACTGCCTCCTGGCCGAGACCAGTCATTCAGCAAACACTTCCACACAGCTCTAGAAGGAGCTGCAGGGAACAGACCCTGCCGTCTAGGAACCCACCTCAGCTAAAGGTGCGACCTGTGGGTGTGGTCCCCTCTGGTGACCCTGGACACACCCAGCCTGTGCCCCGGCTTGCTTTTCCGCGTGTCCACCCACAAGTAGGTGTGCAAGAGGCCTCAGTGCAGGACACCCCAGCACTGTCCTGAAGACCACAGCATGCCAGATGTTCCTCCTGGAAGGTGGAAGCCGGGGCTCAGCAGGAGAGGGTCCTGGGGGAAGGGGGAGGGCTGCTGGGTGGAGAGAAGCAGGGAGGCAGTGAGACAGGCACGGGTCACCGAGGGGCGGCGAGATCACAGGAGGAAAAGGAGCCTGCTGCTGCCAAGAAGACCTGGAGAATTTGAGCCTTGAATAAATGGATAAAGAAGATGTGGAAAATATATGTGTTCACTGGAAGGACTGATGTTGAAGCTAAAGCTCCAATATTTTGGCCACTTGATGCGAAGAGCTGACTTACTATAAAAGACCCTGATGCTGGGATAGATTGAGGGCAGGAGGAGAAGGCAGCAACAGAGGATGAGAAGGTTGGATGGTATCACCGACTCAATGGACATGAGTGTGAGCAAACTCCAGGAGGGAGTGAAGGACCCCTGTCCTTCCCTAAGCCTGCCGTGCTGCAGTCCCTGGGGTCAAAGAGAGTCGGGCGTGACTTAATAACAACACGATGGAATATTACTCAGCCATTAAAAAGAATGACATCCTACCATGTGTGACAACCTGGATGAACCTAGTGACTGTATACTAAATGAACTAAGTCAGAAATAGAAAGACAAATGCCATATGATATCACTTATATGTGGACTCTAAAATACAAAGCATATGAACTTATCTGCAAGACAGAACAGACTCACAGACATACAGAACAGACTTGGGGTTGCCATGGGTCAGGGGAGGGATGGGGTGAGAGTTTGGGATTAACAGATGCAAACTGTTATTTATAGGATGGATAAACAGCGAGGTCCTACAGGACAGCACAGGGAACTATGTTCAATATCCTGTGATAAGCCATAATGGGAAAGAATATGGAAAAGAATATATATATGTGTGTGTGTATGTATGTATGTATAACTCAGTCACTTTGCTGTGCAGCGGAAGTTAACACGACATTATAAATCAACTACATTTCAATCAGATTAAAAAATGTGTACCTCCAGTGAGGTCAAGTGGGGTCTGTCAGAGCAGATGCAAGTCCGCTAGGTGCAAAGGACTGGCCACACGAGGGCGCCACTGCTCACGTCCGCTCCTTGTTCCTACCCTGATGGAAAACAATTGCTTTTGCTCTGCTGCAGAAAAAAACAGTCCGTGAAGGCGTGAGCTTCCCAGTGAAGCTGTTTGCATGAACTTTTAGTGACTGCATGTTTCTGCTCCATCGCGAGAAGTGGAGAGCCCCCATGGACCTCACACGTGTGTTCACAGGCTTCAGAGCCTCCACGGGGGCTGCTGTGGAGAAGAGAAGGTCAGAGGAGGCTGGCAAAGCAGGGACTCCGGGAAGCAGATGAAGGGGCTGGAGCCCTGCTGGGAGTGGGCTGGGGAGTAGGGGTGCAGGTCAAGGACAGGGGCCTGGCCTGCACACATGGCTGACCCCCCACAGCATCACACCTGGGAGGCCGGGGTCATGAATGTCCCCATTTTCCAGTCAAGGAGACTGAGTCTGGAAATCACAGAGAGCGTCTGAGACAATGAACGAGACACAGTACTCGGGGTCCGAGTCCGCACCTTTTCCTGAAAGTCAGAGGCAGACTCTCAAGCACGCCTTGTGTGTGGTCACCGGAAGTGTGTGTGACATGTGTGCCTGTGTGCCCACAAGTTCCCACTGGGTGTGCATAGGTGTGAGTGTGTGGTATGTGCACGTGTGTGTGAAAGCACGGGGCTGCTCAAAGTCCCTTCTGCATCACTTACTGCATCACAGACGTCAAGTGTCACCAGCAAGAGCCAGGCAGCCGTTTCTGCTGCCAATGCCCAGAACGCAGCCTGCAGTACACGGCCAGCCCTCAGGCTGTGCTGGGCAGGACTGAGGCGGCTGAAGGCCGGGCCACCTCCTCACCAGGCCCCTGCACACGTTAGCGCCCTGTAGTGGGGTATCAGCCCCTCTTTTCACAGAGGACTCAGGAAGAGTGCGATGCTAAAGGTCACCCAGCCAGCAAGGCTCTGAAACCCCCTCCCATCCTCCTGGCTGGGAGAACCCCAGCGAGGCCCCAACACTCCCCAGCTCCCTGGGCCCCGCCTCGAGCTCTGTGCCCTGTGGGGCACAGACTCTGATGCACCGGGACAGGCATGAATGAATGGAAGCCCCTCCCTGCAGAGATCCAGGCTGGGGTCCTCAGGGAGGTCTCTGAGCTGAGGACAGACACCCACCGCCTCCCCAGGGAGCCCAGCCCCTACCTGAGCCCTGCGGGGCCGCGCTGGACAGGACCCACTTGACCAGGCAGCAGCGCATCAGGGCCTGCCGGGTGAGCCTCGGCCGCTGCCACTTCACGCCCTCCTTCTTGCTCAGCGGAGTGCGCCCCGGCTCCCCCAGGAGGCTGCCGTCGGACACCTTCATCACCTCCTGCAGCAGGAACAGGCAGAGTGACCGTGAGCCCTGGCTCACCAAGGGCACCTCCAGATCGGCCCCAGGACGCCTCGAGGCCATCCTTCACTCCACGCAGGGCCTTACCTTCCAGGGGCGCATGAGAGGAGCCCCTGCCCTGCTGGACGATTCCCAGGGCGCCACTGCCCCCAGCGCTGGTCACCTCCTGCCCCGTCTCTCAACCCTCCCCCCTCTCTCCAAGAACCTCTGTCCCTGCCTGGCAAGGCCACCCTGCAAGCGCAGACAGTGTCCACTGGAGATGCAGGCTGGAGGAGGGGCTGAGAAGGATGTTCAAGGCCACCGTGGGGCTGGCAGCCTCTGCTCCCACGCACGCTCCCTGCCAGCCTCGCTAGGCTGCTCTGTGAACACACACTCCCCCCACACACAAGCCCTGCTCATGCTTTAAGATCCAGCTAACAGGGACTCGCTGATGGTCCAGTGGTCAAGAATCTGCCTTACAACGCAGCGGGGGACATGGGTTCAGTCCCTGGTGGGGAACTAAGATCCCCCGCGCTGCTGGGCAACTAAGCCCTCGGGCAGCAACTACGGAAGCCGCTCCACGCCCTGGAGCCTGTGCTCTGCAACAAGAGGCCACCACAGTGAGACAGCCACGCACCACAGTCAGCGAGTATTCTCCACGCGCCACAACTAGAGAAAGCCCGCACGCGGCAGTGAAGAGCTTGTGCAGCCCCAAATGATAATAAATAAATTGATAAAAACGTGAATGTCTTAGTCGCTCATTTGTGTACTCTTTTCGACCCCATGGACTGCAGTTCGCCAGGCTCCTCTCTCCATGAGATTCTGCAGGAAGCCATTCCCTGATCCAAGGGATCTTCCCCACACAGAGATCGAATCCCGGTCTCCTGCATCACAGGCAGATTCTTTACAGCCTGACCCACTAGGAAAGCCCAAGCTAAAAATAAGTAAAACTTTGAAAATAAGATCCAACTAGAAAGCCATCTCCTGCATGAAGCACCCTGGCCTCTAAAGCTGTGGGCGCTGGGACTACCCTTGCATCCATGGCATGAACTGTGCAGTGGGGACTTGCTGGAGGAACTCCCAGCTGAGGGCAGGGTCCGTGGGTTTCTCCACTGGGCACCTGCTCTGGCACATGATGGAGACCCTGGAAGGAGGGAGGTGAGGGTCCAGACAGGCTCATCGACCTCACCCCAACCCCAACACAAGTCTGAATGTCAGTCAGAGATCCCAGCCCAAATCCCTCGCTGACTAAGCCCAGAGAGAGGGGTAGATCCACGCAGGCCACACAGCAAAGTCGGGCCTCCTTGCTTCACCCCAGAGCCCTCAATATTTTTTGTGTTCATGCTCAGTTGCTCCGTTATGTCCGACTCTTTGTGACACAAAGGACTGTAGCCCACCAGTCTCCTCTGTTCATGGGACTCTCCAGGCAAGAATACTGGAGTGGGTTGCCATTTCCTTCCCCAGGGGATCTTCCAGACCCAGCGATCCAACCCATGTCTCCTGTGACTCCTGCATCGCAGGCAGACATTTATACGGTCCTGAAAAGTATATGAGTGTCTGAAATACATCACAAACAGATGTACATTCGAGCAAGTTCTGCAGATGCAGAGACTCCAGCATGGCCCCTGCGACGGTCAGGTTCGCAGGTAAAGGACCAGAAGAAAGCACCCCGGTGGACGGTAAGTGGAGAGGAGTCAGTGGTGGGGGACCTGGGCCGTTCTCAGCCTCCCCAGGACAGACCGAGCCAGGCTTGGAAGACAGACCAGGGCAAAGAGCAGGCTGATGGACAGCCAGACCTCAGTCACGGTCACCCGCGGGCCAGGACAAGCGGCTCTGCTGCTGCTGGCGCTGCCGTCCCAGGGGCACTGGGCCCGGGGCCCCACTGGTGTCGCCACTCTGTGGGAGTCTCGGTTGAGTCACTGGCTCCAGGTTCAAGGTCAAGAGCAGAGCCAGACTGTCCCAGCCCGCATCATATTCTCGTCTCTGGCTGCAAGGAGAGCTGCGAAAGCAAGCTTCTGGCCTTTCAGGTTCTTGCCTGTCCTCTGTGGTGGCCTTCCTAAACGTGAGGAATAAGAAAAACCCTACAAACTGTGCAGTCTGAGCGAATGCTCAGCTGAGGAGAGGCCGATGCGCCGCCTCCAGCAGGCTCTCGTTGGGTGGGGGAGCCCTCCAGTACCTGAGCTGGCTCATGGCCCCATGAGGGCGGTCTGCATTTGGGGCTGGGCGGTGGGCCTCCTGCTCAACTTTCGATGAAGCAGCTGTCTACACCGGGCAACACCCAACCGCTTATCCTGACTTTCAGGATCTTTCTAGCCCGGTCCCGGCTGCCCGTCCCCACCGTGGCTGTCGCCCCCTCAGGCCACCCCTCCAACACACATGCTCAGTGGCCCCTCCACGCTCTTCCGATTCTTCCAAGCTTAGCCTGGCCTGGGGTCGGGGTGGTCAGTGGTGAGCAGAGCTACAGCCAGACTGGGCTCACCATCCCAACAGGGCAGAAAGGGGGTTGGTGGGGTGGCCGGGGGCCCCAGGCGCCAGGGATGCTTAGGGAGGTGCCCCCCGCAACCCCCCACACACACGTGCACAGACAGAGAACTTCTCCATTATTAATGATCTTATTAGGGAGAGAAAAGGCCTCAATGAACCAGGTGTTTATTTCAGCCCAGGAGGTGGGTGGGGGACGACAGCAGCTGGCCCTTCATGATTTCATGAACTCTTTGCTGAACGCTCTGTACGTGGTTGAGTGGAGAAGGTCAGAGGGGAGGCCCGGGAGGGGCTCAGAGCCCAGGCAGGAGCTGTCTGTTGGGGCCCCCGCCTCAGGACAGCGCTGGGTGGCTGGCGGGGTGGCCCTCACGGAGCCTGAAGCCCGTCGCTAGTCCTGGGGACTCTGTCTTGCAGTCATTCCTGGGCTGATAAGGGGAGACCCAGCAGGTGACCTTCCTACCGGTAGGGGGTCAGGGCTGGGCGGGCCCACAGGACGGGCCGAGAACCCCACTCCTGCACTTCTGGGCCTTAAGGGTGCCTCATTGCTTGGCAACTATAGGAGGTTGGCAGCAGCTGCCCACTTTAAAGAGAGCAAACCAAGTCTCCCAGCTGGCTTCCCAGGTGGCCAAGTGGGCAAAGACTCTGTCTGCAACGCAGGAGGCACAGGTTGGCTCTCTAGGTCAGAATATCCCCTACAGGAGGGAATGACAACCCACTTCAGTACTGTTGCGTGGAGAATCCCATGGACAGAGGAGCCTGGTGGGTTACAGACCATAGGGTTGTAAAGACAGGACTGAGCGACTAAGCACAGAATCACAAACTAAGTCTCAGATGCCTGGGGGCACACCAGGGCTGCAGCGTACTCGTGGCCTCCTGGTTCCAACGTTCAGGGGGTCTCAGCCACGGGCGGTGCTGCGCGGCTTTCTGAGGCCTTGGAAGTGGGGGAGGGACTCCTAAGGCCCCCTCCCCCTGCACACTCCCCCCCCCCACCTGCACACTCCCCCTCCCCCTGCATGTTCCCCCTCCCCCTGCACACTCTCCCTCCCCCCTGCACACTCCTCTCCCTCCCCCTGCACACTCCCCCCCCCCACCTGCACACTCCCCCTCCCCCTGGACAGTTCTCTGCCCCTCTACCTGCAATTCCTGCCCCCCCACCTGCACACGCCTCCTGGACATTCAAGATGGACTGCGTCTCGTGTCAGGCCTCACTCGGATCAGGTGCTGGGTCATCACCCACCTCAGCACCTGCCATGGTCCCCAGCATACCTGGCTGTTGAACTTACCCTGTCTGTTTGCCTGGGTGCATTTCTGGCTCCTTCTCCTGGAATGTTGGCTCCTAGAGCCGGCCCTGGCCTGCTGTGTGCCCTGCTCTTCCCCGTCACAGAGCCTGACACCCAAGAGACCCTCACTTCCAGACCCGGGCAGGAAAAGAACAAAGCCTCTAGCCAGCAGCTGGGCAGCAGACCAGCACAGACATGTCAGCAAGGAAGACAGACAGGTGACAAAGAAGCCCATGAAAAGATGCTCCACATCATGAGCCGCCAGGCAGAAGCAAACAAACCCATATGGAGACATCACTCATGCTCTCAGAACGGCCAAAATCTCAAAAGGTCACATACGATATAATTCTATTTATGTAGCATTTCAAAATGGAACTGGTTAGTGGGACAGAGGTTAAGGATGGGGGAAAAGGTGGAAGAGGGAGGGAGGTGGGAGGGGGGACCGGGATGGGGAATACATGTAAATCCATGGCTAATTCATTTCAATGTATGACAAAACCCACTGCAATGATGTAAAGTAATTAGCCTCCAACTAATAAAAATAAATGAAAAAAAAAAAAAGGTGGAAGAGGGGAGGTGGGTGTGGCTATAAAAGGTCAACATGAGTCCTTGAGGTAATGGAACTGTTACGAGTCTTGACTGCAGTGATGGGAACGTGAGCTGGCACATATGATCCTGTGTGCTTGTGTGTTTAAGAGCACAGGACTAAACACACACGAGTGCGGGTAAAACTGGGTAAAGGGTACTTGGGATCTGTTTCATTTCTTTTTTGAGTATTTATTTATTTATTTGGCTATGGCAGGTCTTGGTTTCAGGACACAGGATCTTTTTTATTTGTCACAGCTTGGGGGCTCTAGTTCCCTGAGCAGAGATCAATCCCAAGCCCCCTACATTGGGAGCTCAGAGTCTTAGCCACTGGACCACCAGGAAAGTCCCTCTGTTTTATTTCTTACAACTGCAAGTGAGTCTGCAATGGTGTCAATGAAGTTTCCATTTTAAAAAAAATACTTTCATACATAAAAAAAAGAATATTTAAAAAATACAAACACACACAAAACCCTCAATAAATATCCTACAATGCCTGAGTGAAAGCCCTCTGATGCTCTCACCATAATTCACTGAGGTTTTTTCCCCTCCTGCTCTTATCTGATGCATTTTAACAAGGATGGATCCACCCTTTCCCCCTCCAGGGGAGGGGACAGCCAGAGCTGGGTGGCAGAGACCAGTGAAGCCAGAAGA